ATATGGTCACACTGTTAAATACTTTGACACTTGATGTTAATCATCCTTTGGTCAAATTATCAAATATTTCATCTTTCAGTGACCAAATGATGAGGAGAGCTGATTCGTTTTCACTCTTTTCCATTGGTTATTTTTAAAATTGAAGAAATAAAATTTCTAAACTAAACTTGTTTACAAAACTTTCAAAGAGAGATACCAAAGGTCTCCCTCCTTTAGAGAGCCACAGTTGGTCAAAGCTTCTTAGTAATGTCTCCCATATTAGAGCAGGAGAAGGTCTGACTCCTAAGGCATGATCTAAGTCACTTGAATTCTAGAGATTTCACCATGATTAGTGACCAAACCAGGAGGGGATCCTAGAATTCTGAGCCAGCTGCTGCATGCCTACCTCCCATCCTTCTTTACATTGCAAAATTTAAAGAAAACGTACCTGTAATGATGAGCTTTGTTCCGGGACCGAACACCTTGATTTTTTTGCCAAACTCTTGCCCACCACCTGAGAAGCCTTTATAAGAAACTCCCTTTGTGTTTGTTTTAAAATTGTGCCAACATTTTTTTCAGTATTTACATAAATACATAAAAATTGGCCCCGTTGACATTAAGCCAAGACAAAGCTCAAACAAAACCACAATAGACCTGAATGTAATTAGGAATTTAAGAACCGACCTTACCCTATCCTGCACACTTTGGGTTATGTACATTCTCTCCTTGTGTCATATACATTGGAGAGTCTGATTTTACCTTTTCTCATGATTTTGCCTGAATCTTCTAAATCTTCCCTAAAGAGTTTTCGTGTATGCACTTTGTCTTAAGTGTAATTTAGAGTTAGTATTTTCCTAATTTTCAAAGAGAAAGAATAATAGTATACTTAAGTTTGACATTTAATAAATAGATAATTCAATATGATTTACAGGTATTTTGTGATTCATATGTATGGAGGGATGGGTATCTAGATTGATTCTAAAGTAACTTCTTTTTGGCCGGGTGCAATGGCTCGTTCTTGTAATCCTAGCACTTTGGGAGGCTGAGGTGGGGGCAGACCACTTGAGGTTGGGAGTTCAAAACCAGCCTGGCCAACATGATGAAACTTCGTCTCTACTAAAAATACAAAAGAATTAGCCAGGCATGGTGGTAGGTGCCTGTAATTCCAGCTACTTAGGAAGCAGAAGCAAGAGAATCGCTTGAACTCGGGAAGTGGAGTTTGCAGTGATCAGAGATCATGCCACTGCACTCCAGCCTGTGTGACAGAGACTCTATCTCAAAAAATAAATACATAAATAAATAAAAATAAATAAAGTAACTTCTTTTTAGAATCCAGTTCTCACTGATAGAATACTAGAAGAGTTGTTACAAAAATGAATTCTTAATGATGATTCATTGCTGAAAGACTGCTCCTTTTGACTTGGAAATACCCTTACAGTTTCCCGATCATTGAATTAAATTTTGTGCTACTCACCAGAGAATCTGAGGCAGCTCCAAGTTATGCAGCTTAGTACTGCAATATAGCATAGTTGCAATAGCTCCTTTATTAGTTTCAACATATCTAGCAAATTTGATGCCAATACAGAAAGACAACTGAGTGGAATGATGTCAAAATGACCCATTCTATAGAAATAACCTAAAAATTATATTTTGAGTATTTAATAAATTCACATTCCACATGACTTTTTGGAGGAGAGAGCATTTCAGTGTCATAATTAGAAGCAGAAGAATTGTATTCATGTACAAATAGTAATACAAATTGTGACTTGTTACTACAAAAACAGTCAACTAAAGTGTCTATTCATGCAATCAAGCTACAGAAGAGGAAATATTCAAAGTATAAAAATATGACTTAATATTTCTAAACATCACATAAGGGTCCAGATGAGGCACTTTGGAATATCCAGACAGCCTTAGCTAGATCCTAAACTGCCACAGTGACTAGTCATGTGACTTTAAGAAAATAACTGATCTTCTCTAGGCCTCGGTATCCTCATCTGTGAAATGAAAATAAGAGGATCTCCTGTATAGGTCTGATGAGGAATGAGATAATGCACTGAAACTATTAGGATGGTATCTGGCTCTCAATAAACTTTACTAATATTAATTTTCTCCTTAAGGGGACAATATTGGGTCATTTTATCAAATTATTCCACCAAACACAATACATAGATCTTATAAGCAATAACTACTACACAAATTAAGAAAGAAAATGAGCTCATGAACCCAAGACCTTCGCTTCTCTGGCAGCCACAGGCCAAAGAACACAGGCAGGGCCCAGCCAAGCCAGAATCTAGAATACTTATCTGCCAGACTGGCAGCTTTTGAGTGTTGAGACTGCGTCTTGTTTGCCTTTTTATCTCTAACATCCAGAACAATTCAATTAATATTTGCTGAGAGGATGAATGAACAAATGAAGATGTAAAATCATGAAGACTCTTTTCATTCACCATGGAGCTGAAATGGCTGTTTGAACTTACAAATTCTATTAAACTGGGCCATTTCCAGGTGATACAGCAGAGTTCCAATAGTATAAATGTTGAATGACCTTAACCTCCTTCAAAGAAACAAGAGCAGTAACAAATGGGATGTATTGACCTTCTATAGTAATTTACTATAAGAATTCATTTTTTCTTCACTGTTTCTCAGGATGAGATAAAAATTAATAATATGGGTTTGGCAGGCTACCAGAAGAAGGGAGCACTATGTTATATCTCAAAATACAGAGAAGGGGTAATTAATAAAATTCCATTTTTATGTCTCTTACTTAAAAGACCTACAAAAAAGTGTCCTTGGACCAAGGACTTACGCCAATGGTATACAGACACGGTTCTCAAAACATTTTAATTTCTAGCCAGAGTCTACGGGGTGTGTGTGTGTGTGTGTGTGTGTGTGTGTGTGTAGAATTTCAATCTGCTTACAGACAGGCAAAATTGCTGTTTGTATACTGAGGCCAGGAATGTGAAAGGTTCAGATAAGGTTGATCATTTTTTTCTATAAAGCATCTATCAGTTTTTCATTACGGGGATAAAAGCAGAAAAAAAAAGTTACTTACCAGGTGGAGTTATTATGAGCTTAGTCCCCTCTGCAAATATCTTGATCCAACTGGTGCTATCACACTGGTCTAAGCTTCTACAAAAATCTCAACCTTCTGATCTTCATGACATGACTAGCAATCCAACAACTTTGAAGTAGCAATTTGATCTTCTGGCTTTTTTGGAAGTCCTTGAATATAGGTATTGTGACATCTGATAGTTTGTCATTTTCCCTAATAAATTACCTGTTTTCTTTTAAGGTAGTAATTTTTGAAAAGCACCAACAGAAAAGGGAAATGGGGGCGGGGGGGAAAAGCAGGAAGAGAAAACAGCAGGCTCAATGGGTCAACCCACTATTTTTCTAAATTACTAGGAAGAGTATTCAGAATTGTCTTTTTTTTCTTTTAATTTCCAGGTGCTGAATTTGTCGAAATTGCTTTGAGATTACATCAAAGGAAAAGCTCTCCTGTTCTCACAAACACCAGGGCCTCTCTGTTAGCGATTTGGGAAGATAGTTCTGAAAGGAGGAAGCTCTTTAGTAACTGAAAATGCAAATGTGTCAACGCAGACATACTTGAGAAATTTAAACAAAGGTCTCTACTTTCAAAAAGCCACCTCTACCATTTGGCAACGTGATACTTTACCAAAGCAATGCCAAAAAAGAAAATGTGTTCTGCAATGACTATTATTTTTCCTGGAATAGCAGAAGAAATTTGTAGAATTCTATCTCCCATGAAATAATAGATTCTTTATTTAAACCATGCCATGACACCCCCCTCCAAAATCCAGTTATCTGATATGTTGAAAAATCTGCAATCTTAAACCAGAGTCTGCTGTGTGATCTCCTGAGTACAGATGAGGTGTTCAGTTGAAAGGACTGAGGACAGGCCGTGCGTGACAACCTCTCTGTCCACTCAAGATCCACCCGTGCTCCAGCCGAAGTACCATGAGTCCTCATTCAGGAAGGTAAGAATGAGGTCACAGAGGGCACCTATCCATCCATGGCAGCTCACAGCTCCCAATCCAATGGAGAGGACAACAGGGCTGAGTGGAAATTATGTTTGGAAAGGGTTTCTTTTTAATAGAAAATTCAAAATTATTACTTGCAGCTGCCGATTACCCTTTACACCTGTCACAGATGGAGTGATACCCATTCAATCTCTCTGTCCTCTGGTCTTCCTTATTCTAGGACCATGAGGGGAAGCATCAGATGTCTCAGAAGCTGTCAATATTTCAAGAGCCATGAAGGATTTAAGTAATAAAATGTAAAAAAGTAATGAATTGTAAACTATTTTATTAAATTTACAAAAAATACAACAACGATATGAAGAACACAGTATTCAGTTTTCCTAAAGGCATACAATAAAATCTAAATAAATGGAGAAACATACATTGATGGATCAAAAGCTCCTACCATAAAGAGGCCAATACATCTTAAATTCATCTATAAATTTTCACCAATTTCAGTCAAAATTACTATGACATGTTGTTGCTCTAGGGTATAAGGTTTAATGCTGGGCTAGATAAGTTCATTTTAAATTGTATAGGGATGAATAAATATGAAATGATAGAAAAAGAATTTTCTAAAAAATGGTTCAGCAAATAGACATTTGGCATAGCAGATCTTAATACTTATCACAAAGCTACTGAGATAGTAAGATAATGATGTAAGAATAATGAGACAGACAAATAAAACAGAAATTCTCCAGAAAATGTGTCAAGTATGTGTGGCTATTTAAAACACACTGTAACATTTTTAAATTGTAAGATGATGGGGGCCGGGCATGGTGGCTCACGCCTGTAATCCCAGCACTTTGGGAGGCCGAGGCGGGCGGATCACGACGTCGAGAGATCGAGACCATCCTGGTCAACATGGTGAAACCCCGTCTCTAATAAAAATACAAAAAATTAGCTGGGCATGGTGGCGCGTGCCTGTAGTCCCAGCTACTCAGGAGGCTGAGGCAGGAGAATTGCCTGAACCCAGGAGGTGGAGGTTGCGGTGAGCCGAGATCGTGCCATTGCACCCCAGCCTGGGTAAAAAGAGTGAAAATCCGTCTCAAAAAAAAAAAAAAAAAAAAAAAAAAAATTGTAAGATGATGATGGATTGTTTAGAAATGGACATTAGGAAAATAATTCTTTGGGAAAATAAAAATACCACTCTACCTCACCTCATGTAACATAGGGCCCAAATAGATTAAAATTACAAAGCTAGAAGGAACATGTAGGAGAATAATTGTATCCATTGGGTAAAGGGGCACGGGATGGATATAGGGTAGGAGAATCTTAACACATTAATTTTTAAAAAGTAAGAATGTGGAAGATTTTCTGTTTTTATAGTATTTTCAAATAAATGTTTTTCAAAGAAGGATAGATAATGGAAGACCTGCTAGAAGATTTAGGGAGAAAAGTGACATGATCACATTTGCACTTTGGGAAGATAAATGTCGAGCAGAAAGGAAGGGGCAGTGACCAGGACAGCAGTTAAGGTGAAGCAGATGGCTGTACAGGTGGTCCCCAGAAACCAGTAAGAGGCAACCGAGGACCTGCGTTGCTGCAGTGATGGTGGCGACGGACAGAGTGGCTGGAGCAATAAACATTAACAGGTTTACTTGAGTTTTTAAAAGATTCTTATGCAATAAATTATTATCTCAGGAAGCTGGGAATGAGGAAAAAAAAGACACTTTAAAATGGGAAAACCCAGGTTCAGATTCCAGTTCTTCCATTCTTGGTGCTGTGCCCTTGAGCAGACACTTCTAAGAGCCTTGGTTTCCTCATCTTTTAAGAAGAGAATTAGACCTATTTCCCAGGAATTTTGTACGATATTCATAATAGAGCCTGCGACACAGCAGGTGCTAAAAACTGATTATGCAGTAATTCAGACAGAGAGACTTCACTTCGCAAGGTAAAATGGAAATATTCTGTTTCTGTGTCTTTTTATCTGAAACTTCTAAGTTATTGTTACTTCAGACTGTCAATTACCGTTTGCACCTGTCACAGACGGGCTGCTGCCCACTCAATTCCTATTTGTCTTCTGCTTTTCCTTATCCCAGGACCACGTGGGGAAGTATCAGAAGTCTTAGAAAGTGTCTACATTTCAAGAGAAGGATGTAAGTAATAAAATGTAAAAAAGTAAGTAACAAATTATAACATCTTTTATTAAATTTACAAAAAAAATAAAGAACTATGTGAAGACCATAATGTCCAGTTTTTTATTAAAGGCATAAAATGAAACCTAAATGAATGTGTATAAAGATGAGAAATTTTGCTTCTAACCCTATGCTTTGGAACACAAACTTCCCCCCTCCCACATTTGTCATGTCTTGAGATAACTAACTGAGGCAACTTAAATCCTGTTTCCAAGAAGATGGGTTATGAATGAATAAATATATAAACAACAAGTAAATCAAGTGAGGTAAAGCACAAGTTGGCACTGCATTGCTTGAAGTTTTGCATTACTTTTTCAAGTTTGGTGTTAATCACTTTCATAGAGAACAGCTCCAGCCAAATTTGTTAGACCATCAAAAGGTAATAAAGATGTATCTCATATTTCATTTCAGGATTTGGTTGCCAACATGAACCAAAATAATCATTTGCACATTTTTTCACATTGGTTTATCTTTTAGAAATTTTAACGGATCTTAACTAAATTGGGTATAGAAGTCAGTTAAGACACGTCGGAGAAGAAACATGGGCAGACAACTGCCTGAAGTGAAATAAACACATTATCTGATACGTACAAGAGATAAAAAAAATCACATATTGACAATCTCTGAACCACTAACTTTCATAATTTAGCATAATTTGATTTCACATATGTTATCACTTGGATGATATCAGATATATTACAATATAGTACGATAGATCTTCACTTGTTTCTGAAAACACCAGAGCAGTCTCTGCAAGAGGTCAGGTCACTGCACTCTCAAGCAGATTCTGCCTTTTAGCAATTTTGCCATCTGTCTTCATTCTTAACCTGATGATTTAGTCTTTTAGGGTTTCTTTTGCAATTGCGGTATTTAACACGCCACTATGCATATTATAGCCACTTTTCAACTGATATTGCCCCCACAGGCAAACATGCCTGATGAAACACTTGTGTCTTTTGGGCAAACAAGAAACATTTACATAAAAGACTCTTGTGTCTGGAATGTCTTGAGAAATTAATATTCTACTCTAAGCCCCAAATCTCCTTTTCACTTCCCTTCCCCCTGATCCAGGATGGCAATCCATAAGCCTGTGCTCTCTGATAGTGAAAGAAAACTCATAAATATAGGGTCTACCAAAAATCAGGCACCAATTATGCATTTATCTCTTTCAGCTTTACCCCATAAATTGTTATTACCATTAAAAGTCATGTGAGGAAACAGAATTAGGGAGTTCAAACTGAGCTAGGATTTTACTCAAGTTTTCAAGATCCCAAACCCTGTTCATCAATTACTTCACTGTTTGAATGTAATTGGAAAGATGTGCATGGGAGAAACACAGTTTCCGGGTGTAGTCTAGGTCTGTATAATACAGAGAATCTGTATCTCAAATGGCCATATGTAGGATACTGGGTGTTGCTTTCTAGGAATCACAGAACATGTCAAATGAAATAAAAAGCAGATGAAATGGTTAACTTGGATATTCTCAAAAGCAATGCGTAGTCACTGCAAACACCTAGCAAAATAATCTGTGAGGAATGAGGCTAGTTGAATCTGAATAACGAATTATATCTTACAATTTACCTTCTTTTTATTTGTCTGTTAGTGACACCAGGAGATTATAGCATCCATGGGGCCATTTGGGCCATGCACTTCAGAATGACAATCATTGCTGTCATGGCTTGTCTATTACCCTGCACATGTCAGGGGAAACACAAAGAGTTTCTAAACCTGCAGTAAGTTAGAGAGAAGACTGGGTGTTCTCTGCACTGAGTCCACAGTGTTTCAGTCGGGAAGCCCTGTTGACACAGCCTATTCCAATCTCAGATTGGGCCACACAGAGTTGGGCCTGGTTTGTGGGTGACTTTCTGGCAGGTGAAACTAGTTTCCAGGGTTCCCATAACCTCCCTTCAGATCTTACATCACAGGAAACTCAATAATAGTTGGGTCTCCTCACCTCTTCTCTCATTACCAGGAGAAATAAAAAATGCAGATCAACAAAACACTATCTGCTTGAGAAAACACCCTTGCCATTGCATTAGATGATACAATATATGCTTGCCATGTACCGCAGTAAGAAAGTCTGAAGAGAAAAATAATACATGCTTGGAGATTAGGGGAAGGGAGTGGAATTGGAATCAATAATTTTTTTTGGCTATTTATCAGACATCCAAAAAGAAAGGTACTGAGCTATGATGTAATCATATAGATACGGTTGCTACTATTGTTCTTGCTGTTTTCAAGGTGTGGCTGGTAAGGCCTAGGACATGAACAAGTCCTAAGTCACTCTCTCAAGGCAGAAAGCAGGCCAGGGCTGCCCAATGTGAACCATGTGCACGGCTAGACAGTTAGGATTGGTTTCAGGTTTCAGAGCGAAGAGGAGGAAACCCCAGCCTTGGTTCAGCAGATCCTTCTATTATAAGAATTTACTAATCTAGTCAGATAAAAAGTTAATCTCTACTTCTCACATGCCCATATGTGTGATGGGTACACCAGGGCAATCGCTCCAATTAGTATGGGTTTCATAACAGGTAGGAAGCTACAGAAAAAAAGGGCAGTAAGTAGCTATGGGAAAACGACATGGGTAGATGGAGCGTGGAGTTCATCCCTGCTGACATTTTGTCCCCTTCTCAGCAGTGTGGTAATCACATACATGTTTGGTCTTATCCGACTTGATTGGGGCCTGGGGGTACCACTGAGGAAGACAACGCATAGTTGTCACAGTTCCCATTTGAAAAAATGTGATTTTGCCAAAAGAAATTCAGCACTGACCACAAGGGAGGCAGGAAGAGGCACTGGACTGAGAATCTGAAACGCAGTGTGGCCCTACCTCTGTGGCTAACTAGCTGGACACAAGTCACTTGCTGTCTGTGGCCCAGCTTCCTCATTTGAAGTGGGGACATTGGGCGAAATATATTCCAAGGCCCTCCCTGTTCAAACAGGCTGTGAACCAATGAACAAGAGCGTTAGTCTGCTGTGGCTGCATGAGTGTGAAAGCAGTCGGGGGTGGTCAAAGGAAGATTTTCTTACAGGTCCCTTCTGACGCTGTGACACTGTGATATCCCATCAGGCACAGTAATAGGTGGCTTCATCCAAGTTGGCAACATCGTTAATGATCAGGTAAAAGATATTATCATCTATATCTGCCTCCAAAAGGGGATTAGGCCTGTCTTGCTTGTCACTTTTTGCTGAGCCATAAAGGATTCACTTCAGGGGCTCCCCTTCCTTTCGTTGATACCAGTACACAGTGCTGTTCTCGAGGGGAAGCTCAGACAGCTTGCAGCCTATGTGCACTGCTCTGTCTACTCTGCGGCTGGAGGAGAGTTGGTCCTGAGATATTCTCATTTTGTTGTCTCCATCTGAAAAGCGAGGAAGAGCAATGAGAGGCTCTGAAAACAGTCGACTGTGGACACAAAAATTATTATGAAATGATGAGAAAGGAGTAAAGTCAACCTACAAACTCAAGCCAAAGACACAAGGAAAACCCATGAGGTTGACATTGCCCGTGGCTAGTTGGAGTAGCCGCTACAAGGGACCACAGGTTAGGACTGAAGATGCGGTGGAGCCCTTGCTGTGTGACGGGGAGGGAAAGGTTTGTTTCGGAACCAATGAAAAGTCCTTCGCAGTGAGAGCTGCTGCAGTGGTATTTGGTGTGAAGAAACTATCAAATCCCAGATCTGATGAAAACACTTCGCTTATAATAAATCAATGTTAACTTCCCCTTTGGAGCAATTCCCTCCTATTGTTTGTTTGTATTTATTTATTTATTTATTTTACTTTAGGTGCATACTATATCTGGCGTTTCTCCCCGTGTTATCCCTCCCCATCCTCCCCTCTCTCCCCACCCCAACTGTCTCTCCCCAACCCCCACAACTGCCCCCAGTGTGTGATGCTCCTCTCCCTGAGTCCACGTGTTCTCATTGTTCAACACCCACCTATGAGTGAGAACATGCGGTGTTTGGCTTTCTGTTCTTGTGTCGGTTTGCTGAGAATGATGAAGTGTTACTTCAAATACCTCTATCTTTGACCTCTGTTTCCTCTCCCGTTTTCACCATATTTAGTCAGAGTTGTGAGTAACTATGCATGATCAGGAGTATTGGAGGAACAAATGGGATTAAACTCTTGCAACCTCTTGCAATACTATGTATGTTTATAGATTAGGAGTGTGCCCAAAACTTGCAGTGTGATAAATATTAACAATTCGTGTATTTACTGCTTTAGACACTGTGATGTTATACTCTGCTGTGACTGAAGCAAAATTTTAGAGGAAAGAAGCCTTTTTGGTTCATTACCCTCCACTCTTCCCATGTGCGTTTTTAGTTTTTCAGAATTCATGTTATAATTTACTGTTGTTTGGGGGACGATGTAAGACGTGATTTATATTTATTTATATTTATTTAGAGACTCTAGCTCTGTTACCCAGGCTGGGAGGCAGGGGCACCATCATAGCTTACTGAGGCCTCGAATTTCTGGGCTCAAGTAATCCTCCCACCTTAGCCTTCCAAATAGCTAGGGCTACAAGTGACTACCTCCACAGCCAGATAATTTTTGCATGTTTTTCAGAGACAGGTCTCATTATGTTGCCTGAACTGGTCTGAAATTCCTAGCCTAAAGCGATCCTTCTACCTTGGCCTCCAGAAGTGCTGGGATTACAACAGGTGTGAGCCACCATGCCTGGCCTATTTTTTAAGAGTTTCTAAGCGGCCAGGTGTGGTGGCTCATGCCTGTAATCCCAGCACTTTGGGAGGCTGAGGTGGGTGGATGACCTCAGGTCAGGAGTTCGAGATCAGCCTGGCCAACATGGAGAAACTTCATCTCTACTGAAAAAAAAAAAAAAATTAGCTGGGCGAGTGGTGCATGCCTGTAATCCCAGCTACCCAGCTACTTGGGAGACTGAGGCAGGAGAATCACTTGAACCCAGGAGATGGAGGTTGCAGTGAGCTGAGATCATGCCATTGCATTCCAGCCAGAGCAACAAGAGTGAAACTTCACCTCAAAATAGAGTCTCTAAGTATCACTATTTTAGCTTTTTATTTTATATTTTAATAATTTTATTTTAGCTATTTTAGCTGAGATGGCTCAATGATTTAGTCATAATGGGAAAGGACACAAAGGAAGTGATTTGTTGAGCACTAGGTCAGAAACTTTCATATATGGAGGCTCATTCAAACCTCAGTGAATCTATGAGGTGGCTAATGTTAGCCCCACTTGAAGCTGGCTAAACAGAATGAAAAAGCATTAGGAACTTTCCTAGATCACACTGTCAGTATTCCCAGCAGCAATTCGAAACCCAGGTCTATGTCACTCAAAAGGCCTTGTATTTTCCAGCACTCTTCCATTCACTCAAAGTTAATAAACCAGCCCAAAATCCAGTGCAGGCTGCAGAGGGGTGAGGCTGGATAATAAAGTTTCTCATTGAAAGAAGCATCAGATATTGGGCTTTTGGGATCCTGCTCAGACTTTGCTCAGGACAAACACACCAGAGAAAAGTGCTCTGTAGCCAGCAGCCAGGTTGCCTCTGGGAGGTAGAAAGGAGGAGGTGTGTGTGTTTGCACAGGTGTAAGGGGCTATGAAGGCCTTTTTGTTCAGTTACAGTGGAGCATTTGACACAGTGTGTCCCAGCAAGCACAGTAATACATCCCTGCGTCCTCCTCTGTGACTCGGTGTATTCTCAGGCTGGAGGACAAGTCACTTTTGCCGTTTCTTTGCTTCATATCTTTCCTCACTAAAACCTTGTTCATGGACAATATTTTCATTTGAGGAGATATACAGAATTCGTTTTAGGGATCGGTCTGGCTTCTGGTGGTACCAGTGTACACATACATTCTTCTTAAAGGTATTGGGTTTTATTCGGCATTCAAGAAATGCTGTATTTCCTTTTTTCTTGGTGATGGATGTTACAAGTTGTGTTATGAGATTGTCTCCACTTGTGTCTGAAAGAAAAAACAAAAATTTTGAAATTTTTCAATATGAAATGTTGATGTTCTTTAAGATAGTATGGTTGTTATATATTAAGGGAAAGCTTGAGTGTAAAGTTTACATTTTCTTCCTGAAGAATTCAAGGTAATGGTGGAATTTGTCAGCTTAGCTTGAATGACCATGTGGCTTTGTTCCACCTGAAAATGGTGCTATTTAAATGTCTACACTTAGGTTGATTCATGTCTTTGCTATTGTGAATAGCGCTGCAATAAACATATGCATGGATGTGTCTTTATAATAGAATGATTTAAATTCCTTTGGGTATATGCCCAGTAATGGGATTGATGGGGATACCTCAGAATACCATGCAGCCATAAAAAGAACAAAATCATGTCCTTTCAGGGACATGGGTGGAGCTGGAGGCCATTATCCTTAGCAAACTGACACAGGAACGGAAAACCAAATACCACATGTTCTCACTTATAAGTGAGAACTAAATGTTGAAAACACATGGACGCAAAGAGGGAAACAACAGACACTGGTGCCTATCAGAGGGCGGAGGGTAGGAGGAGGGAGAGGATAAGGAAAAATAATGAATGAGTACCAGGTTTAGCACCTGGGTGACAAAATAATCTGTACAACAAACCGCCATGACACAAGTTTACCTATATAACAAACCTGCACATGTACCCCTGAACTTAAAACAATAAAATAAATAAATATCTACAATAAAAATAAATAAATATCCACACTTTCTGTGCCTCCCTTCCAATGAACGAGATGTCCCTTGGCTAAAGCAACTCACACGTCCACAGGGAGGCCATCAGGATGCCCGGGAGCAGGAGCAGCATTCTATAAGCACTTGTCCAGAGAGGTGGCCAAATATGGGGTATTCTAATCACAGAGAAAATCCGAGGTCTGATGTGAAAAGAGGAAGCGCACTCTGAACACACAGCTAATACCTGTAGACTGCGGGGGAAGGGACCCATGCTATTCACTCAAACATCCTGTGTAACCGGTTTTCTAACTCAATATATCATATCAGTGGATTTCTCATTGCTGTGTGATTTTTACTATCTGAAGATGTTTGTGTAAAGAGCCATTTTCTTGTTAAAGGATAAACATTCTTTATTGGTCTAAAACAGAGAGAAAGAGAAAGAGAGAAACCTTAAAGTCTGCCTTTGAGGTGCCTCACGGGCAAGTTTTTTTTGTTTGTTTTGTTTGTTGTTGTTTTGAGACAGAGTCTTGGTCTGTCACCAGGTTGGAGTGCAACCTCCAACTCCCTGGTTCAAGCGATTCTCCTGCCTCAGCCTCCCAAGTAGCTGGGATTACAGGCACGTGCCTCCATGCCCAGATAATTTTTGTATTTTTAGTAGGGACGGGGTTTCAACAAGTTGGCCAGGATGGTCTCCATCTCCTAACCTCGTGATCCACCCGCCTCGGCCTCCCAACGTGCTGGGATTACGGGCATGAGACACTGCACCCAGCTGGGGCAAGTGTTATAACATGGTTGTTTTTCACAGCTGTAAATCTAGGCTAAGGGAAGAGCTAAATTACGTAAGACCCAGCTTTATCCTATAGACAGCCCAGCCAGAGAAAACTTGCTTCAGATTCTCTTACTTTCAAATGTTACCATTAAATGGGAACTTACAGGTGTCCTCGAAGTATACTTTTAAAACAAAACTTTTTTTTTTTTTTTTAAGATGGGGTTTCACCATGTTGGTCAGGCTGGTCTTGAACTCCCGACCTCAGGTGATCCGCTAAAACAAAACGTTTTTAATACATTTCAAAAACGAAGGTCGTTGTTATTTCTTTTAATAAAACAAGCGTAGATTCAGAGGAGTCATAAAGAAACACAGGGGAGAAAACAATCTCTTTTTGTCCCCACCACCCAGAGGCAATTATTATGAAAAGTTTGGTGTATTTCCTTACAGGCTAATATATGCTCATCCTTTTCATTTGTTTCACAGGGTAGATATAAGATGTGTGCTCAATTTTAAGATCTGCCTTTATAACTTAAGATAACACCAGGAACATTTTTCTGTTCTGTGGTTACTTTCTTGTCATGTTCTGACACTTAGCAAGATTCCCTGGTTCACCACCACACTGACCATCAGATAACATAGGGGTCTGTGATTTCATTTATTTTACATGACCAGTCCCACAAATTACAGGCACAGAAGAACAAGAAATTATTGTTTAGTTGATCACTTAGTTTTTTGAACCTCTATGAGGCGCCTATTGCTCATTTATTATCCGGTTAATTAAACTAACTTAACGATCTGCCTTCCTTTTCTTAACATCAATTCCTCACTCTCCTTCTAGTCTTCCTGCATCTCCCAAGCAAATTAGCTTTCATCAGGTTCACTAGCCTGAGGTTCACTTCCTGGGGAACTCAAAGTAAGACGGGTTGGCTGTGGCCCTTTCAATACAGATGCCCTCCTGGTTGTTCTAACAGTTCCACGTCCCTCCAGACCTAAGAGTAGCAAGGACTTTTGTGCTTCAATAGCCCATTTGAGTAGTTAGGACAGAGACTATGTTGTCTGCCAACATAGAATATATTTATTCTTTAGCCCTTTACAAAAAATAGTTTGCCAACTCCTGTTTTACAGCAATTTAGAAATAAGATTTAAAGGACAATGTTTTACCTTCATTTATTCTATTTCCAGTACTTATCATTTCTTTAGGTGAAGTTTTTGACCCATATCATTTTTTTTTGCCTGAATAACTTCTTCTAACATTTCCTGTGAAGTGTATCTACTGGCAATAAATTCTCTCAGTTTTTACCGTGCCTGAAGATGTCTTTATGCCAAGTGATAGTTTTTCATTCAACACTTTAAAGATTTCACTCCAATGTCTTCTGTTTGCGTGGTTTCTGACGGAAAATCTGCTTTTTCCCTCTTGGCCTCCGAGAGTTTCTCTTTATTTTTGGTTTTCCGCAGTTTAAATCTAATATGACTCGGTGTTTTGTTTTGTTTTTAATATTTAGCCTGGTTGGTGTTTTCTTAGTTTTTTGGTTCTGTGGTTTGATATCTATCACTACATTCGGAATATTCTCAGCCATTACTTTTTCAAATGTTTCTTCTGCTCCTTTGTCTCTTGTTTCTAGGATTCATTACAAATATGTTTGAAAATATGATATTGTCCATAGTTCTGTTGTTCCATAAAGATATGCTTTCTCTCTTATTCTTTCTTATCTCCTTTGCAATTTGGGTAATATCTAGTGGCCTACCTTCATGTTAACCAAGTCTTTCCTTATCTCTATTGGGTCTACTGGTGAGCCATTAAAGGCATCCTTGATTTCTGTTACTGTGGCTTTTTTTTTTTTTTATGTCTTGCATTTTCATTCGATTTTTAAAAATGTAATTGCTGTCTCTTTGCTGAAATTCTCTGATCTGATCTTGTATGTTGTCTACCTTTTCCATTGCAGCCTTTAACGTACTCATCAGTTACTTTAAATTTCCTGCCTGACAGCTCAAACATCTGAGTCATATCAGAGTCTGATCTGAATGATTGCTTGGTGGCTTCAGACTGTGTTCCTTCTTGTTTTGGGGTAAGCTACTTAGACATTTTATTAAAAGGGGACTACATTGTATAACACAATAGATATTGAGATAATTACATTTGATGCTTAAAAATGCCTACATCTTTCCTTCTGCCAGACCTTTAATGTGAGTTTGTGCTAATCTAGCTAGGAGTTAGACTGGGTTAGAAGTTTGTTGTTGCTGCTAAGTTACCAGGATTGGAGTTCTTCACAGGACGTCAGAGACTTTAGATTTCTCTAGTCGTCCCTTGTTCTTGGCTTTGAGTCTTCCCTTTGTTCCACTCCCCAGATACAGTCTGTCTTTTGAAGCCCTCTTCACTGCATTCTACTGCTGTTTTTACTCAAGACAATATGGTGGTGAGAGGTGGGGAACGGAGACATTCTCTGCTATTTTCATTCAGCTCCTGTCTTAAACAGGCAGGGTGAAACTGGGACTTGAGAATGTATCTTCACAATTGTTGCTGCTCCTACTCCAGAGGTGGTGCATTTCCAGCCATAGGAGGCATCCGCCAATGTCCTCAGGCTATGGTTTTGACACCCACTTTTCTGCACATTAAAACTTGTTACTCCGTGGAGATAGGGGTAAAGTATTGAGCAGAGTTGGTGGTGGCCTCTTTTTCTCTTCTTCATGACAAAACCCCATCTCTACTAAAAATACAAAAATAAGCTGGGCACGTTGGTTCACACCTGTAATCTTAGCTACTTGAGAGGCTGAGGCATGAGAGAGAATTGCCTGTACCCAGGAGGCAGAGGTTGCAGTGAGCTGAGATCGCACCACCACACTCCAGCCTGGGTGATAGAACAACAACAAAAAAAATCACTTTCATTGCTCATCTATATTGAAATAATTGAGGAGCAACTCACAGCTGCAGAGGGAGAAAAATAGGAATATTCCTAGCAGGGACATCCTCCTGTCTGCTGAACCATTTCCCCAGGAGAAGGATGCTGGTTGCTGGCTGGCCCTGGTCAGTGGGGAGAGGGTGTGACTTGGTGAGAGAGAAAACTGTGGTGGATCAGGTGGCCTCGGGGGACTTCATGGCCTACTGCAGAGCTGACCAGTTCCCAGGAGCATTGCACTGACCACTGATGGAGTAGAGACCATGATCTCACAGCAATGAATCTGTGGAACGGGATGGAGGCAGCTCTGGAGTTGAACTAATTCTCCTTCAAACTTAGCTGTTCCCCCCTTGATTTTCAGACTGTACAACATTGTTCCAGAGATATGAGCATATGGCTTTCTTTATCTCGTGTAAAATTGATCCTTCTGCTAATGTTTTGGGGATTTGGGACCCAGGAGCATAAAACATGGACGGTATTTTACAATTTTAAAAAAGGCAAACTGAAATTTTACACTAGCATTATTCACACCTCATTCAAAAGGCTATAGTCATTTCTATTTGAAATACAGTGGAGTATTTGCTTTATAATTAATTGCGATGTCAAAATGCAGATTATAACTCAGAGAAATCCAGTTTCACTTATAATGAGGGTGCACCTCAGGAGGAAACTTGATTGAAATTGTTGGAGGGACCCACAGGGCAATCTGTGGGAACTCACCTTGGACTTCGGAACAGTCTTATCAACACTATGTCACAGAGAGGGGAGTTTTTAAATAAAGTTCATTTTTACATGCACTTTAAAATTAATGTTATATCAAACATCTATTGTAGGCTTGCTAACATTGTTCTAAACATTTTCTTGCATTACTTCCTTTACACTTTATCTCCCTCTGACAGACAAGAACAGTGTGGCACACATGACATCCCAGATCACAAAGTTGGTAAACATGAAGCTTGGATAAGTACCTGATCCTCCCTGAAGAAAATCTGACCAAATGTGTTGCAAAGTGATGAAAATATTTTGAGAAGACTCTAGCAGAACGTTAGTTAATTAATTAAAGAATACAAGAGCAATCAGTAGTTATTTTTAAGCATGTTCTCTACAAGTTTATAACAGCAATATATTTGTTTGGATTATTACACAGGATTCAACATTTTTAATGGGTTTTACATTTACAGTTTTACATTCTGTTCTTTTAACTTTATGTTTGAAAATATATTTGGTCCTTCAAAAGCTCATCTGAATATTACTATTAGTGACCTATGACAATATGCACCCTTCTAAGACCACTTACCCTATCTAACATCAGCTGAGTTATTTGAAATTTTTGTGTCTTACTTTCTACAGCTATCAGTGTCTTAATGGCTTCCAAGACTTAAGAAATTTACATTATCACTTAATAAAGATAATGAACATAAAGTGTAGATAACAGTACCTGTCACATACATAGAAATGAAAAACCCCAATTTTTTATGTTTCTATACTGGAAAGTCAATTGGAAGTTTATTGGCATTTTACTTATTCTGTGAATACATCTAATCACTGGAATCCTGGGCACATGTTTCAGCACGCAGTAGTAATTTGTGTCAGTTAAAGTTGCATGATGGTCAGTTCTGTCTCCTCCACAGGGATAGGAGCAATGTTTCTTTTCTTTTTTACTCCTGTGACTAAGAAACAGTTTAGTGTCATTTTCAAGAGAAACCAGATGACCTGGGTCCCTAGACTGTCCTGCCACATATCAGCTCTGTGATTTGGACAAGTGCATGAACTAATAATACTCCACTTATTTCAGGAGTTATATATGTTTGATGAGAACAACCAACCAGATCTTATAGATAGTGTGGGTTAAAGGAGCTAATATATGCAAATAATTGAGAACACTGTAGAGAACTTACACACACACACACACACACGCACAAGCACGATACCATTCTCTCTTCCTTTACAGGTAAGATCAAGGGTTATTCCAACATGTCCCAGTGGAGCCTAGGGTGACTTGGAGCTCTATTCCTACAATCTCATGCTGGCAAATTCTCCTCCTTACCCCTCCCAGTAAAAAAAGGCACTTATTCCTTCCCAAATTTATCCCGGATACCCTGTCATTCACTCAGAGAATTGCGATCCTTAAACTGTTCAGTATGATGTCATAGACCAGCTCAAAGAGCATGACTCATCTGGCAGATCATGCAACCCCAATTCTCTAAGCTTTCATTTCTTTAGTTGTAAACTGTGCCAGTGATAGTTACTCTGCAGATGGGTTGTCTTGACTGTCTGTTATAAGGATGCCTCTCTCAACTGCACCTTTCTATTTACGGGAAGTCTCTAGGTGGTGATATGATGGACGGTGGCATGACCTGTGTCCTCTCAGTCCCCAGACAAGTCTTTAACACTCATTAAGAAATAGTATCAAATAAAGATTCGGGAGCACAATTCCTGGGATCAGCCTGGAACGAAGGTGTCAGCACAACCCGAAACAGCTTCCTGGAAAGCCCCCGGAAGAGCCTCAGAGAAGGCGAGCCTGAGTCTGGGAGCCCAGCTGGGGACCGGCTGTGGTTGCCCCCGTCGGGAAGGATGTGGTGGGCGCAGCCCCGGGGAAGGGAACTTGTGCGTGTTGTCTCAACAGTTCTGATACCGTGTATTCCCAGGCAGCACAGTAGTAAACAGCCATGTCTTCTTTCTCTATGGACTTGATGGTAAGGATTGAAGTGGACGTTTTAGGATTCTTTCTTGCCTCCAATTTGTTGCTCCTCTTACCCATGCTGCCGCCAGCTGAGGATTTCGTTAAGGCAGTATAGATCAGGTGCTCCAGAGCCCGATTCGGTTTCTGCCGGTACCAATGAATGACATCTGTTTCAAAGTTTGTGCTCGATATCTTGCAAGGTATGTCAATACTTTTCTTTATTTCCGTGGAAATGGATACCTGGAGCTGCTCCACTTTTGATAATCCAAGTCCAACTGTAAGCAAAAGAGGAGAATTTCCAGTGAGCATCTGAGAGTGGAAGAAGGAAACGAAGAATGAGTTTAGTCACTGATCTAGACTGGAATATTCGGACAGCGACTCACGAGCCCAGAAGGAGGAGAGGGCGAATGCTTCCAGCAGCGACATTCTGTCTGCCAGGCGGTGTCCCCAAGGACAAGGCACGGAAGCGCACACCTAGTGGCTAGACACCTTGGGTAAGGGGCTGGAGGGCGTGGCCTGAATTGGGGAGAAAAAAGAAAGTGGTTTTCGGGGTCCTTTAGTGTCGTCTGCAGGCTCAGCACTGCGCCCCCATCCTGCTCACCCTGCGTATCTCAGATTAGGCTAGCAGTCTCCACGGGGTCCCCCACACAAATGCGAGGGGGCCCATGAGTGTTCCTTAATTTCCATGGAAATGAGAAGGATTTCTAATTGCCTAGTTGTTTATGAACACTTTTCCTCAGCATAATATTTTTAATTATTGCATATTTATAAGCATTAACATTTATAATAACAAAAACTTAATGAGCATTTTCTATTTTCTAGCTCTTTTTTTTCTACGTGTTTTTCACCTTTCTAATCTTCACAATGATCACGTAATATGGAGACTTGGAATTTTCATTTTCAGGAGGGAATGAGGCCCAGAATCATCAAGTCACTCCACAGAAGTCACACAGTTGATAGGTAGAAGATGCTGGTAACGGTGCTTGTCAGAGAAACTCAAAGCAATGGGGAAAGATAACGATAAAAACGTCCACAGTCATATCACTAAGGCCTGCTACTATTCGCATTATGATATGTTCACTTGTAGATTTTTTTATTGCAGATGTGTAAATCTTAATACGATTTTATTGACTGTAGATATATTTACATGTATAGTGTTCTGTATTCTTTCAGTTCATCTTATATTCTGAGCAACTACCCACATCATTGGAGCATTTTTTATTTATTGTATTTTTTTGAGACAAGCTCTTGTCACAAACACTGGAATGCAATGACACACTCACAGCTCACTGCAGCGTCAACCTCTCAGGCGCAAGCGATCCTCCCGCCCCAGCCTCCTCCCACCCCAGCCTCTTGAGCAGCTGGGACTACAGGCACTCACCACCATATCTGGCTAATTTTGTATTTTTTGTAGAGATGGAGTTTCGCCATGTTGCCCAGGCTGGTCTCCAACTCCGGAGTTCAAGTGGTCGGCCTGCCTCAGCCTCTCAAAGGGCTGGGATTACAGGCGTGAGCCTCTGTGCCCCACTGAAACACTTTTTAATGTCTATCTATTCACCTTTACCACTTAGGGACTGGATGCCTGACCCTGTGCAAACTTCTTAATATCTGTGCCTCAAATCTCCCATCTGAAAATGAATATAATAATAACAGCTATATCAAAATTTTATGCAGACTAATTAAATACACATAGTATAATTCCTGACATACAGTAAATTTCCAGTAATTATTAGATATTACTACTACTACTACGTTTTTATCTCCCCCTTACTTTTTATTTTTATTTTTATAGAGATAGGGTCTTGCTATGCTGCCCCGGCTGGAGTGCAGTGGTGTAATCATGGCTCACTGCAGCTTTGTATTCCTAGGCTCCGGCCATCCTCCTGCCTCAGCCTCTTGAGTAGCTACGACTACAGGCATGCACCACCATGCACAGTTCCATCCCTCCACTTCCAACCCCTCCCACCTCAACTTTGCTAAAGTGCTTTGCTGACTGTTTTGAAGTAGTAACCCGGCTAAATCAAGGGAAATTGGTCAAATATTGTTAGTACTTCATTTTCCCACATTACAGAACTTCTCTTTTCCTCCAGTCAGTTCCATTTGATGATTTCCATGTGGTTTTCTTGGAGATCTTCTGGTGCCTCAGGGCTCCTTTAACCTTGGACAGTGGTTGTCCCTGACACTTCTGTCCAGCTCTGGCTCATGTCGTGTGGGACAGGTGTGAACACCAACAGCTTGGCTCCTTTTGAGGAGACAGGAGAGGAAATGGCTGGTTCGGATGGCTCCTCCTAAAGCAGCTGCCCCCTTCACCCTCTTTTCTGATAAATACCATTTCTGAGACACTCAGTGCTGGGGAGTTGAATATTGAGGAGGCAGAGGTCAGTAGACCAATGGGCCTGTGGCTACAAGTAGGAGGACTCACTCTTCTCCTGCACAGGATCTGTCCTGGGAATGAGGAGGAGAGGGTGCCCACGCCGCAGGCTGAGCTAGTCTGCAGGGCCCGCCTTAGGACCCTGGAGCTGCCACAGCTAGGGCAGCCTTGGCCACCTGGAACTCACCCGTGCACACTCCAACCCTGCCAGACAGTACCTTCCAGACCCTGCCACTCCAGCAGCCGTGTGTGTGTGTGTGTGTGTGTGTGTGTGTGTGTGTGTGTGGTGGGGAGGTTGTGAGGAGTGTGTCTAATTGCTGGAGTCCAGGGTCTACCTGACTACTTGGAATAAAGACTGAGAAAATGCATTAGGCATTTTTCTTTTCTGTAGAGGGAGATGAATTCATTCACCAAAGCCCATGAGGTGAAAATTCCCTAAATGCGGGAAAGGGTTACTAGGAGTCAAGAAGAAAGACAAATGGCCACTTTTAAGACACTTTTTTGTATTTTATTATTTCAAACAAGTGAACAAAAGGACAATTTATATTATTGAAAACATTGTCAGAAAATAGGCACTTCATAATATCAATAGTTTGCATTAATTGAGGGCATTGTCTGCGGCAGGCTTTGTGCTGCAAGGACTTTTGTCCATTATCAATTAAATGAGGGTTCTTATTACTGGTCCCATTTTCCAGATGAGAAAATAGAGGCTTTGACACAGCAGGCAATTTATTCAAGACCAAGGCGTTTTTACAGAGCAGGCATTTTGTTTAAGCATGTACTTTGTTTTGGCAACAGTGAAGTGAATTGTCCTCAGTAATTTGCAACAGAGGATCTAACTCTAGAACCTCTGTGCTTAACAAAACCTTTTATTTCTTCCAAATATATCAATTATACATATATATGTATGCACACACACATATGCATAATGTATATAATATGTATATAATGTGCACAAATAAATTTATCCTTTTCTGTTGCAGATACAAATATTTCTGGTTGTATTATTTTGATTAGCCAACTAGGAAAAGAGAGGGAGATGGAAAATGGCATAGACTTTTCAATGAACACCTGAAATATCAAGAGAGCACATTAAATTATTTTTTAAAAGTTTCTCACATAATCTGGGCAAAGAGAAAAGCAATATCATTAGCTCTGAGGAAACTGCAGATGATTGCTGGTAACCAGGTATCTTGTCTACACGGTCTTTGCCTCCAAGGACAGGCCAGAGGCCTCAGGTCAGTGTGAGCTGTGTGGGGTGGCAGGTGTTAGGAAAGCAGGTAAATGGTTCCAGCAGGGGCTGCCATTCCACGCGCCACTCCTGAGGTTTCAGAAATCTCAGGATAACATTAGCCAGGCTGCAACAACACCAACCCACCAGCTCATTTACAAATAATTAGATGGACAACAGGGAGATAGAGATAGACACGGTGGAGGTGGAGGTGGAGGCAGAGATAAGTGTATCTAGTGAAGATTGAAACAAGGCAATGTCCCTGAGGGAAGGCTTTTCTTAATTGCTCAAACCATTTCGCACAAGGGGATACAGACAAAAGTGAAATTAAATAACAAGCACTGGTAATTAGTACTTATTGAGTCCTTTCTCTACTCCAGGCTGGAGGCTCAGCATTTTCTATTTATCTCAACTGATCCTCACAACAGTCACTGGCAGGGGAACTACTCTCTCTGCCAAAGAGAAGACAAAGCTGTAGATGCTCAAGTGGACTCAAGCCTCTGACTCCAGAGTCCGCGCTCCTTGACTTCACGCCATGGTGTCGCTTATGCGAATGACTTTTTTTCTTGACCATCAATTTTTCTCAAGGCTCTGGAATGTAATGTCTGGTGGCTGAATTCACACATTATTTTCATTAGTTTTTTAATGATTATTTTTGTGTAAACGAATTTTGTCTTTCCTTGGGGTTAGGAAGCTACATGGATTCAGTTTGTTTAAAACCTTGTATCTTGTCTGTGTGGCTCTATCACTAATTACCTCCTAACAGCACCCGCACTGCCCAGAGCTCAAAACAGGCTCCTTTTTGCTAATTAACAAAAGGATGCCTTTGGGCAGAGTAATTAGATAAAGACGCCCTTTCTCCAGGCTGTCACCACCCAGCCCCGGAATGTGCAGCGGGGTGGGGGTGGGGGTGTGTGAGATGGGATTTTGGTTCCCTCTGCCCTCCCTTACCCAAGTGACTTGGAGCAGGGCACAGCCACCCAGGTACCTTTGAGTGGGGCACAGTGGTGGAACACACACAGGCTATCATTCAATACAGAAAGAAAATGTATACAACCTATACTTGTCATCTCTTGCTCGTTCTGACATTGCGGAGAGGCACTAAACTTACCAACTTAAAAGAATTTCCACCAGGTTAGAGCAGCCTCTTTCGGATGGCCTCTGTCTCTTTGTGGTGCCTGCTTAGGCTTTTCTGCGTTTCTCTCTCTTCCTCCTCCTCATCCCCAGGATCACATTGCTACTCAGGGCCAGGGTGTGTGAGCGAGTTCAGAGTTGTCTTCCTGCTGCTCGCTGCATCCTCAACAACTGCTAGGACTTTGCCTTGCTGATCTCGGGGATTTCACTCTTCCTCTGAACTGGCTAGTGTAATAACCAGACTGAACTTGCCACAATTGACTCCACACTATGGCCTTGGGATGCAAAGTTCCCATCCTGCAGCTTCTCATCCGAATCCCAGGCGCTGTGCTCTCCTGGCCCCCTCAGTACCTTTATATCATCTCAGAGACCCTGAGAGGCATCTGGGCTTCCTACACGCACAGCCTTTGTGGAAAGTGGTACTGGTTTGGCCTCAGCTTTGCAAATGCCTTCCACTTTTGATGAAGTTCTATCAGGCTGTATCAGGGAAGCTTGCCCGGAACCAGACACACGTAGATTCTCCTTCCGTCTATCTTGGGTTTCCATTGGGCTTTCTATCCCCTCTGGTATAAGAACCTCAGAGGCAAGGGAACCAGGAAGTACCTCTAGGTAACCCTCTGCCCCTCTCACTCTCCCCACCATCTCACACTTCCCAGCCAGAAGGAACAATGCTTCTCCCTGGGTGGGTATTAATGTCACTGACGT